GGGGCTGGGGGCGGGGGCGCGGGAGGAGCGGCTTACCGTAAAGTCTCAAGCAAAGGCGCAGAGACCCAGCGGCAGGAGCACAGGGCGCCCGCGCCACCGCCTGCTCAGGGGAAGGATTGCCCTACTAGTGCGGGCACACGGCCCTCGCCCTTCCGCGCTGCCCACGCCCAGCCAAGCCTGCCACCCTCTCCCCCATTAGCAGCTTGCTAAGGTGGTAGATTTTAACCCGATTCTCCGTGTGAGACAGCACCCCGCTTCCCACCTCTCTCCACCCCATCCTGGTACCTGAGGGCGCCAAGGGTGAACTGGGGAGACATCTCTGAGTGAGGCAACTGGTGAGGCCCCTGTGCCCTTGTGGCAGCTCCGTCCTGGGCCGATAATGAAGATGGCTTTTGAGCGTAAAAAGGACAATAAATTATTACTTTGTGCTCAATAAATGCCAGGGCTCCAGGCAGCTGCATCAGCAGCAAACTGTGCTCACAGAAAAGCTTAATTATCCTGATATTATAGTTAAAAGCCAGTGGCACTTGTGTCCTGGGGAGACATTCTCCACTTGGCAGGAAGCAACCTGGGCCACGCTGTGGGGAAATGAAGGTAGTATTCTAGGTCCTCAGGCAGCCCTGGATGTGCAGGATCCTGCCTTGTCCCCTCTGTGGGTCCAGAGCAGCCGCAGTGGCAGCCAGAGCCTTAAGCCCAGATCCTTCATATACTGCCCAGGCTCCTGGAGCTGGTGGAGAAAATGGGACAAGAAGAGAGGAAGGGCTCTAGGAATTTAAAAAATAATTAGTGTACTTATTTTTATATTTTCTGTGATACAGTACTGGGGATTGAACTCCAGGCCTTCACCTTGAGTTCCATCTCCAGACCTTTTTAAATTTTTATTTTTCAGACAAGGTCTCACTAAGTCAGTAAATTCCCCAGGTTGGGCTTGAATTTTTAATCCTCTTGCCTCAGCCTCCCAGAATGCTGGGATTACAGGTGTGCACCATCATGCCTGGCTTCATCATCATCACCATCATCCCTGAGGACTGAACCCAAGGCCTCACATAGGATCAGCAAGTGTTCTCTACTTTGGGGCAAGCTATACTACCAGTCCATTAGGAGTTTTATTTTTTATTTTTTATTTTTTGGTACTGGGACTTGAACTCAGGACCTTGCGCTTGCCAGGCCAGCGCTTGTGCCGCTGAGCTATTTCCCCAGCCATTAGGAGTTTTAGATGGAGGAGGCCAAAGGGAGTAGCCAAAAAGGTTGTACCATTCAGTGACATGGGAAAATAAGCTTTCAAGGCTCTGCTTGGGCTCAGAAGCTCCAATGAGTCACAAGACAGTAAAGGGACCAGTGACAGTTGTATCATCCTTGAGGCTGCTATTTAGACCCAGGGGTCCACGGTTGGGCTCACATGCAGGGGTTCAGTGGACACCACGGGACATGACCTAGTGGCTGATGTTACTATTCCCTGTAAAGGAAGATGAAGGCTGAACTTGGCCCCTGAGAGGAGGGCAGCTCTGATCATAGTTTTGGCCCAGAACCCAGCCATTGCCCTGTGCTTTTCCCAGACTCATCCTAGAAGCTGATGGCAAAACTTATGCTCTTAAGTCTCATTCCTCAAAGAGTCTTTTTTTTTTTCCCCCAGAGAGTCTTTTGGTCCTTACAGTCCTCAGTCTCCCAGCTCTGCTTCAGGGATTCTTTCTAGATCCTCTTGTGGGCTCCAGAGAGCGGCCTTGCTGCAAGATTCCCAGGCAGCAGGCAGGTGGCGTGTGGAATCAGCTGCGGGAGACACTGGGAGAGGATTTTTGGACAGTCACTTTGAGAAGCTGAGGAAAAAGAGCAGTACCAGAAGGATGGCAGGAATGGGGAGGTGTTGATGAAAGGACCAGAGGTGAAGAGAGAAAATCAGGAAAGAAGGCACAGAGGAGAGGGTGAACAACAGGTGACCACAGAACTGGGGACTAGGCACAGAAACGGAAATGCAGGCCAATGTCATGAGAGTCCTCCTATCCTCCTTGAAGGTATTTCTGAGCTCCTTCCACATCCCCGGGTCCCTGAGGACTAGGTAACTTGGACAGGGGGGTGACCATGACCCAGGGACAGTGAACATTGCATGCTAGGAGGAATCCTGAGAATTTGGAGGTAGGCAGGGCACTATCTGGAAAGAGAGTGAAAGGAGCCATCCAGAACTCTTCCCATCACCTTCCCTGCTGCTTGAACTCACCTAGGCCTTAGGGAGAGGGGTCCACTGGAGACCACAAGCCCCAGAATACAGCATTCTGCCCTGAGCTCAAAGAATAATAGTTTTGCACTGCATGGTGGGGAATAATTATGTCCCGGGGATGTCCCTCCTTCTTAAAGTCACTCAATGTGTCTTCTAGGTGATGGGCTCCCAGTTAGATTGAGGCAGAGCCTGTGCCAGCATGGGAAGCAGTAGAATTTTTGTCAAGCATCATTTCTCATGCCCTCCCCGGGGTCCATTCTTCTTAGACCTTGGCATTACCCACAAATTGAGGACAATAAAATGCCCAAAGGGACATTCAGCTATATATACAGCTTACAGGCTTATAGTGCACTAAGTTAATACACATATCACATTTGAAAGTGACACCTGGGGGAACTGAAAGGCTCCTCCCATACTGGTCTCATTTCTCCCATTCTCTCTGTGTCTCCCACCTGAACGTTTGCTCCTAGGGGGCCCTAGGCTTCCCCTGTGCTAAGTTGTCTGTCTTCTCTTTTCTGCTAGTTGTAGACTCTGTGAAGGCATGCACTGAGTTGGTCTTGTCTATCCCCAACCTAGCCCAGTGGCCAGCACACCGTAGATGCTCGATAAATATCTGTGGCGAAGTCATGGGCATAAGGACTATCTAAAGCCTGAGGGAGGTCACTGTAAGTGAGAGCTGTGAGATAATGGAGAAGGAGGCATTTGCTTTGGGTCAGTGAAGGCTTCGCACAGTAGACTGGTGAAACTAAGTAAAATATGCTTTATGTTTTCATCAATGGAGAGGGAGAGGGAGGACCTCCAGGAGGCATGACTTATGCAGAGGTAAAGCTGTGGCACAGGCAGGATAGTTGTGGTCAGTGAGAAGACCCGTTCTGGCAGAGCAGAAAGTCCTTGCAGGGAAGTAGGAGGAAAGGCTGGGATAGGCTGGGGCCGGGCTGTGAGAGGCTGGGGCTGTCTGAGTGGCAGGACATCCTTAGTGGCTATACTGAAGGGGTTACCTCATCATGAAGATATTTGCACGGATACGGGCATCAGTAAGGTGGGTTTTCGAGCATCAGGGCAAGTGGTAGCAACTGAGGAGATCACTGCTGACTCAGACGGTGGGGATCTGGACTACTATGGCTGCTACAGCTGGATTAGCATTGACAGCCAGAGGGAGGGAAGAAGGGGTGCTTTAATCCCAGTATCCCTTGAAGTCTCTGCCTAGACCATGTCAGAACTCCAGCCCACATCCCTGGGGAAGCAACATCAATTGGCTACTTCCAAACAGCCCACCACCTTGTAGATCACAGCACACTGATGGCTTATTTTGAAGTCTCTTCAAGAATGACACCTACTTTCTGAGACAGAAAAGGAGATAGCTTGCAAACAAGACCTGTAGCTTTTTTTCATTTGGTAGTAAGAACTGAACCCAGGGCCTTCACTAAACTAAACTACATGCACAGCTCTTTTTATATTTTTTAAATTTTGAGATAAGCTAAGTCCCTAAGTTGCCCAGATTGTGCTTGAACTTGCAATCCTCCTGCCTCAGTCTCCCAGAGTGCTGAGATTACAAACGTGCAGCACCACACCTGACAAGAGCTGTGTCTTCTGTGGAATAAAAGGAGTTTGGGGGTTTCTAAGAAGCAGGGGCAGGGGCTGCCTCCTCATTTCAGAGGCTGCAGGGGCACAGAGCTGCCTGCTCACCTCAACACACTTCTTGGAGTGGGCTAACAACCTTGCAGCACTGGAACAGTCAGGGATGCCAGGCCTGGCTTCTTGGATTTCCCAAAATTAATCCTTTGAATTTCGATGCAGGAGACTGGTAAACAGAGTCCTGACTTGTGAGCTTCTCCTCCCACTCTAGGGGTGGACTAGATCAGCTGTAGCAAGAGCCCAGGGTGGATGGAAACAGCAACAGAAAGTGGATTGATGTGAGCTACTTTCCATCTCCAAACCGAGGCCTCCAGCCTGCCCACCACCCCCAGCCGAGGCCTTTGATCCTCCACAGCTCCATAAATGTTTAATGCCACCGGCTGGGCAGAAAGAGGCAGGTGCTGGAACAGGCAGACTGGGGATAGGACTTGAGATTCACGATGTTGGCTGGGTTACTTTCATGTAGGAGCCATGGAATGGTGGGAGGAGGCCTTCCCCCTCCGGGTCGAGGGAGAAAAGTCCCAGGGTTCAAGTTTGTGGCACTAATAAAGAAAACTCTTTGAAAACCACCATGGGACTGAAAATAAGACGAGTAATCAGTTGCAGCAGCCCAAACTCTGATTTGATTGAAGGATAAAGATGGAAAGTTAAATGACAATCAAATGCAAATACAGCTCAACAAACACCACAGCAATTACCAGGCGCAGGAACCACATGGTGCTTGCAGGCAGCAGGGGTTGGTAATTTGGAATCCTGGGCCTGTGCAGAGGTGACCGGCATGGAGCTATTTTAATGGACAGTTAAATAGATGCAAAACCCCCTGCATCTACTTTGCATACATTACTGATGAGTGGGGAACCAGCATCCAGGCGGGTTGTACTACCTCTGAGGCTGCCTCTGCATCATGTCAGAGTGGAAGGGGCCTTGAGTGCTTCAGAGAGGTGAGACCAGAGTGAGCACCAGAGCAGAGAGCCAGTGTCATTGGATTTTTCCTGCTGGCTGC